GATATCATAACAACAACCCACACACCCCATATATTAATGTATCAAATGCTTGCCTAAAAACGCACTAGGGCACTTTTCATCAAATATCGCAAATACATCCAAATGCTCAAAACAACGTGGAACAGAGGGAGAGCGGAAAAAGTAAACGCCGGAGCGAAGGGAAATAGAGAGAGGTTGCCGTCAAAGCAGTAATTTGCATCATTTTACACATTACATTCACCTCTGTGTATGAGACGCAGCCAAACAGTGGCCAGCCCTGTCTTACATATTCAGATTCGTTGCCTCAATTAAGTGAACCTCAGTGCAAGATGAACTGGCATAAATGTTTATGGAAATGGAATATTAGATTGGAGGGTCAGTGGCATTCACAGCTCTCTATGATAATGGTGTCTTGAAATCAGACTCGTCACTGTCTGAAGTGGCCCAGCTGATAGAGCATTCCCATGGCAAGCAAGTTATATAAAAGAATAGCCTTATTTACCCACCCAAACATGTATTTATTATTGAGCTCATCATGACTAAAGGGGGGGGGGGGAAAGCCCACAAATTTTGCTTTAGCGTTCACTGCTGGGAAAGAGAAAGGCCTCCTGTATTTTCAGATTTCAATTTGAAAGGGAGATGTAAAATTGGACACAAGATGTTTGTTTGTTAGTTTATTCATTTTTGCAGACAGTTTAGTATTTAATTTTCATGAATCCCATAAAGCATTTTTACAAATAAACAAAGTCACCCACATCTTGGTTGCTCTGAGGGTAAGCAGATAAACATCACATTTTCATTTTTGGGTGAACTGAATCCCATAAAGCATTTTTAAGCATAACCCATCAATGCAATCATTATTCAAATAACGTCATTTATGTCAAACTCTCAACAGCAATTCCTATAGTGTCAGTTTATATACTAGGACATGACAAAATTCCTGTTATATATATATATAAATATTGGTAATGTTACAAAATATTTTTTTTTTTTTTCAAATATATTATTTTGAATATTATATTAATCAAATAATTCAGGAAAATGTGTCATGGTTTCTACAAAAATATGAAAGAAGAAGAGATGTTTCTTAAAGGGATAGTTCACCCAAAAATGAAAATGTGATGTTTATCTGCTTACCCCCAGGGCATCCAAGATGTAGGTGACTTTGTTTCTTCAGTAGAACAAAAACAGAGATTTTTAACTCAAACCGTTGCAATCTGTCAGTCATATAATGGAAGTGAATGGGAATCACGGCTTTGAGAGTCAAAAAA